TTACTCTGTTACTGAGACAACATCCCATACCTGAGCGGAAACAGCTTCCTTCTGTGCAAAGAGACACAAATTTGAAGTGTGAAATCTAAAAATGATTCTTCGCCTTTTCACTTGTTGTGGCCACAGGCCAGTTACTCCATCTGAACTCCATTTCCTCTGCTCTAAAATGCAAAGTCGACCGACGATTTATAATCTTAGAGAGTTATAATAAAGATTAAATATAAACAAGAGCTCTGAGCACACTGCTGAGTGCAGAGTGGCAATCAAATGTTTAGTTTTGCCCAGGGGGTGTTTCATCCTTATTCATAAATCTTTGCTTAACATACAGTTGGCCTTGCTTCTGCTCTAGAAGCTCCAATCCATCTGCGTTATCTTTGTCTTTATGCTAATATTTCTCATTCTTCCATTTCGTTTCTATGGCAAAGTTTGACAACAGTTGTAGGTAAGAGTTTGCTTTTTGGGGGGATGGAGACCAAAAAATGCATACTAACATCAGAAAGTTCTTAGCCCTAATGGTAATGCAGTTAATTAAGCCAGTCACATATGTCAAAGCAAGTCAGCAAATCAGATATATCAAATCTGAAGTTTATTTGGGACATTTCATACTGAACTTGGGACTGGATTAAAAAAAAAACTCTTACTGCTGAGAAACGATACAGTATAGGATGGTTTCTGAGTGCTACCACTTTACAGAGCAAAAAATGATATTGTTATAATACTTCCATTTCATAAATCACAAGAGTGTGATTTCCAGTTCACAAGAACTACCACAATGCTTTTACAGAATGTCTGATATAAATGATCTTAGAAAAACTCAGAATATATGCCTCTCTAAAATGACACATATCACTATCACTGGAGTATTTGTTTTCCAGGGCTAGTGATGTATCTCAGTGATAAGAGTGCTTGCCTAGCATGCACGAGGCCATGAATAAAATCCCCAGCTTCACCAAACAAAACAAAAAACAAAAAAACTTCAACAGAAAAACCATCTTCATAACAAAACAAGGGAGTGAAAATTAGAGAAGGAAATTTCAGGTTCCATCACAGAATTACCAATAGGGAAAAAACAGAAAGAAAACCATGGTCAGAGCAATTAGTGAAGAAAGACAGAAAACCCAAAGATGAAAAAGAAGATGGCAAAACTCAGATGAACAATCTCCCAAGACTGATTTCCTCTGCAGGGGCTGGTTTGCTAAACTTGCAAGAAGCTGTGGCGTGGAAGAAAAGCCTACATGTCTCTAACTGAGGGCTTTTCAAGTCTGACCAAGGCTGGTCACTGAGGTAGAGTCCTCCAATCAGAGCTGCAGCCGAGAAGTTGGGCTGAGAGAAAAACTCATGTTAATGAAGAAGTTGGGGGAGTATCTGGAGACCAGATATTTAATTCTTCACTTTTTCCTGGTGGTCTCCTCATAACCCTCAACTCTTGACACATATTTCCTGTCAGAGAGACGAAGTATGCACTTTGGCAAGGACCTAATGCCACAGGGATATGCAAGAGGGTTATTTCTGTACGAACATTCAGGAAGACATTTTGCTTACATTCTTGAATGAAGGGTGGCAACATGCCACTGCACTTCCACATGTAGAAACCTGAGAACCAGACCGGCTCACCATTTCCTCATACGGACTCTCCGAAGAATGTGCAGACGTTAGCCACATGGTGGCATGGTGAGTCTACCAACAGCCTCTGCTAGCACGGGGATAGGTGAGGTGGGAGGATACAGAAAGAAGTCAGACCTAAGAAATAACCGGGCTTGAGGCAAATCTTCCTTGGTTTGCTATTGTCACGGATGGAAGTGACAGAAGGGACAAGAGACAATGGGAAAGTACATTATTTCACCTGGAGAAACCCACAATCAGGTGATGAGAAAACTCATCTAGATCTGGATTTTCTCTTTGCAAGTTAGTTTTCCCAAACCTGGAATTTTTTCCCCCTCAATCTGAATGGAAGGAGAAAGAAGAGAAGAAGGAAGAGGAGGAAGAAGAGGAGGAGGGAGGAAGAGGAGGAGGAGGAAGAGGGTGGAAAAAGGAAAGAGAAAATGGTAGGAAGGAGGAAGAAGGAAGAAGTCGACTTATCTAAGGATCAGAAAAGACAACCTGAATTTAGGACAACATTGCCTAAAACAGGTTGCCTTTTTTCTTCAGAGATATTTGTATATTTCCATTTGGAAGGATAAGGATTGTACTTAGAATAACTGGCAGTGATATTGATACCTGTCTTGGGATGGGGCAAACTTCAAACATTGAAAAAACAAACAACCAAACAAACAAAACCCCTCACAATATCCACAGAAACAACTCTTTTGAACGATAACATTTTAGTTACTCTAACATGTTAAAGAACAATTTTTGGCTCAGGCTAAAGTGAAAATCCATCTGGACACTTAAAATCTCAACTGTTCAGCTGGGTCATTCATATCTAGTCTAGGATCACTCTAGTTAGAGACTGAAATAGCTTTAAGACTTTTCTGAATTCCACTGAAAATAATAAAAGATGTTAAAAAGTATTTAAAAACCAAATTGGAGGATCATTCTATTAAAGAATATGTTAGCATCTAATTAATTCTAAATCAGCATTCTATCATGCCATTCCTTAGTACTTTCTGAATTTTTTGGCCTAATGCATAAGATGACTTGTTTAACATAACAGTATGATGTTCATTCAGTTTGGTGCAACTTGTTCAACGTTAGTAAAACAGTGATACTCAATAGTTATTGTTTAAATGAACTTTTTCTAACCAATTTATGATTGTTTAGCAAAGTCAAAATGAATTCCTTTAAAAATGACCTTCTATTCCAAGACACATCCAAAAAGCTCAGTGTATTTCAAAGAAACCCAATTCTATACACATAGATAAAAGTTGCAGATGTTAACTTTTTTGTCTAGGTTACATAGCTTCTTATCTAGAAGTTTTGGGGTAGATATTAAAGTTCTAAAATACCAATGTAGATTACTTAGCTACCTAGAAACTAGTTAAACATATGGGAAGTATTTGGCAAGGGAAGAATATTTTTATTAGACTAAATGACTTTCGATCACTACTCATGCAACTACAAAAACAACTTTGAGAACAAAAAATCTTAGGTTAGTTTTTACAAAAACAAAAATCTTCAAGACTTATAAGGTATACAATCTAGGCAAAGAATGCAATATCCCATTTCTGACTAGACAATTAACTATTTGTAAGTCTTATCTAATACTAGCACTTGCAGCATTTTGCAGGTACAGAATGTTGAGGAATACACTTTTGTGTCTTGGGGTTTTCTTCTTATGGAGTACCAGTGTGATCACAAACCAAAAGTGAAAACTGGATCTTCATAGGATCTGTAGAAGAAAAATAATACACAGGCCCTACCTACCCTTTTAAATTACTAAAAACAGAAAAAAAAAAAAGATGAACAATACAAGAGGTAATTTAGCTTATAAACTGGAGTTTCTATGACTTAAAAAGAGACATAAAAAGTTAAATCCAATTCTGATATTTTATAATGATGGGACCTTTTCTTTCAGAATATTTTTTTCCAATTTTTACATATTTAAAACATTGTGCTTGTAAGTTAGTTGCAAAAAAGAACAGTAAGAATACTAGCAATGAATGTCCATTTGTAGAATATACATGCAGTTAAAAGAATACTAAGAGAATGCCCCCTCCTGATCATAAGAACAGTTAGAAAAAATCAGGAATATTCTATAACAACCCCATTCACTTTTTTTTAGAGCACAAGCTTAATTTAGAAACAAAGAGCTACGTCTGCTCTCCTCTCATAATGCTGCTTCTACTTGAGTTAGAACTCCCTGGACTTTATTCTTGACAGCAGATAAAGAAGAGGCATCTCTTGCTTTGCTTGCCCTCTCTGGCATAATTTTCTGTTTGGATGAAAACAAAATCCAACAATATTTGGCTTTCTTGAATAATATAAAAATATAAAATCCATGGCCATAATTAATATTTTTAAAGTCTTTCAAAATGAAATGAGAATATATTTTATATAAGTCTGATTAACTTTTAGTTATAGGGTAGGAATTGAATAAATGTTCAAAATGTTGCAAAACTTTCAGAACTAGGAAGTCATTAAAGTCATCAAAGCCATATCGCTATAGGTTTACCTTTTACACTTCTGTTTCCATAAGATGATTTTAATGATCTCTGGTTTTGTTTTGCATTTTAGTAGTGCTAAGTCTACTTGCTCACAAATGACACAAGTAATGCACTTTTGCAACTATAGTGGTAATAGTAACCTTATATTTTAATTAAAAAATGTATTCTAAGAGCTCTAAAATCTCAGCTTTTACAAGCAACTTTATTCCACTGGCAGTAACACTGATCAGGAGGAGGCTGATGGACAGCTGCTCAGGTCTGTCGTTGGATTTAAATGTTGAAGTCATCAGTGCAGCACCACTCCAAACTCTTTAGTCAATCTTAATTCTGCTCAATCTCAACCGCACAATTATGTCATCACTGGAAAACAGGGAAGCTTTTATATTCATAAGAATGCTCAAATATATGATTAATTTCTCAAACTTCATGAGAAAAAATAAGAATTGATCTCACTTGAGATGCATTCAGTCTGATTCCCAGGGGTACAATTTCCACCAATGGCTTGGCTCACCACTGAGTGGGCACACAGCTGTGCCTGCCAGATTTTTGAGGCGTTGACTTCTTTTTCTGTTATCCAAGACAATGCTAACTAGCATCTGAATGCATGTTGCCAAATATATCATTTTTAAAATATGTGGTTAAACAGGAAAGCACTAAATAGAGTTCATCCTTTCAACATAATGATTTAATAAAATTCACTCTTGCACCATACGAAGATATAGCATTTTGGGAGAAAATACTTAATGACAAAAAAGTCAGCTCAGTGAACATGGCACAACAGCCTTGTCTTTGGAGATTGTGTAGAGCTGACTGGGAGCTAGAACATTATTTAAGACTAAATGCATCAGGGATTTTTGTTGCTGTTTTTGTCGTTGTGGTGTGACTATTTCCACTCACCAGCTCGGAGGGGTCGTGGAACTCCCCCAACAAAGATAGTTTTTCTGGGGTCCAAAGGCTGAGAACCATCCATTACAAAGTCACTGTCACTTAGGTTCCATGGTCGAATTTGCACCTGAAAAAAAGTTGTTTACTTGGTCCTTACTTCATTTCCATCAACCCCAAATAAGAATAAGATGACTAAAGAAAAACCCACTGATTTGTGCATTTTACAATATACATAACCCAACAAAATCCACTTAATAAGTTAATGTAATCTGCATTAAATGCCTTTCAGTAAAACGTTCTGGGAAGCTACAGTACTCAGGACTCAACAACACTCTAGGCATGTACCATGAAATCTTCATAAAGCACCCGTGGTTTTGGTTTGTATTTAAAGATGATCTTTTAGAAACACATTCTGGATTTTGGATCAGATTTAACACATAATAAATTGTGTATAACCTGTCAAAATATACCATTTAGCTTTTTAAGAGCTCACCTAAAGGAAGGGAACAGGAACATTAGGAATATTCCCCAAGAATCAGCCTAAATGTCTAGTTTAAATTCTCATCATCCCCCAAATTGAAATATTTATCTTTCAGCAACATGATTTAACACAGATTACAATCATTAAATAACCAAGGAATTAACAAAGGCATCAAATTCTGAAGCACATAATTTTGATTAATCTGATTTTCTAAATGAGGTTGGTTAAATAAAGGCAAGCCTAGAAATGAAATAAATGGTTCAAAGATTAGAGAAAGAAACCTTTACGGCATATTTCTTCTTAGTAATTCTCCTAATTAAGTCTCTGAATTCTTACCCATATTTTGCACTATTTTAGCATAGAGTAGAAAGGTCATCAGCTTAACTTTAAAACATGTTCCTTTTGATCATAACAACTATCAGAAGATCTCCTAACAAAGAAAAAAAACTCCCACCCCGAAAGGTGAGTATGGCACTGCCTGAAAACTAACCCGTCAGGCACAGGAGCAGCATGTGCTGGGAGACCAGTGGAGTGCACAGTGGGACCTGGCGTTTGTCCTTAAGCCACGTGCCTCTCTCACCCCTCCCAGGTTAAAGTAGGAAACAAAACAAAACAGTGGCGTTTTCATTTCCTTAGTATCAACGGAATTCAGTTTCCCCAGTGCTCAAGCATCAGCAACAAGGCACAGAAACACGAGACGTTTTCTGTGTGGATCAGCTTAGCACTCTACTGGGAAGGCAGGACCACTTCCAATTAGTTTCCGGACACCCTGAACTGACTCTGAAACTGACCTTACTCATCAGAAGCAGTCTACACACTCCTTAAGATCACCATTAAATTCACTGCCACCTAATTTTTCATCTTTTATGACACAAGTCACAAAAGATTCAGTCAGAAGTCACAAAATCTTCCTTTTTTCCCTTAGACTGAAAAGTTGGACTTGTTTGCAATTCTATTAACATTCAAGTGCTTGTTCCACTTATATTGCATTTGAAAAAAATGCAGCCAGGCGTGGTGGTGCAGGCCTGTAATCCCAGCACTCAGGAGGCTGAGGCAGGAGGATCGCTGTGAGTTTGAGACCAGCCTGGGCTACATAGTGAGTTCTAGGTCAGTCTTAACTACATAGTGAGACCCTGTCTCAAAAAAAGCAATTATTTCCTCATAAAACTTGGTTTGTTTTGGCAAATGTTATTTCCTTGACATTTATCACTAAGGCAGATTCACTAAAATAACTTAATCACTATTTTTTGGGGGGGTACCGGGGATTGAACTCAGGTCCTTGTGCTTGCAAGGCAGGCCACCGAACCGCTGAGCTAAATCCCTGGCCCTTAATCACTATTTTTAATAATTGAAGCAATTATAATTTCCTGATACTATAAGAACAAAGACACTACTTAACAAGCTAAAGAAAAGAAAAAGGATGTAGCTGGATGTGGTGGTGCAAGCACCTCTGTAATCCCAGCACTTGGGAAGCAGAGGCAGGAGGGTTCAGTTTTGTCTAGTGCTGGGAACTGAACCCACGGCCATCACTGGGATCCATTCTCAGGCCTCACTCATTGATTCAATTTTTTTGAGACTGTGGATTGAACCCAGGATCTTCCCACTGAGCAACATTCCAAGTCACACCTCTCTTTAGTTTTTATTTTGCAACAGGGTGTCCATAAGTCATTAAATTACCCTCGCTGGATTGAAACTTGTGATGAGATCCTCCTGCTTTAGCCTCCCAGAATGCTGGATTACAGGCATTCTGCCACACGCAGGGCTTCTTCTAGTTTTATTCCTAATAAAGCAGTCAAGGCAGCTTCAAGACACGGCTATATAATTCCAATCACCTTTTTTTTTTTTTTTTTTTTTTTTTGAGACAAAGTCTCACTATGTAGTTCAGGCTGGCCTTGAACTCACTATGGCGCTCACACTTGTAGCAATCCTCTTGCCTCAGCTTCCCAAGTGTTGGAATTACAGGTGTGTGTCACAGCCTGGCTGCAGTCACTTTATATTATTGTGATTTGGTCATAGACCACTCAAGAAACAAAACGAAACATAACAGACAAGGTCTTTCCACATTGCCCAAACTGGTCTGAAACTCCTGAACTCAAATAATACTCTCATCTCATCTTTTTAGTAGCTGGGACTACAGGCCAGCACTACTGCAGTCTTTTAGTTATGGATCACTTTGTCCCAAAAATGAAAATAATCACTATATAGTATACATAGTGTTCTGGTATTTAACTAAAAGTACAGAAAATGTCACCTTGCGTAATAGCTGTAGTTTACTGCTGCTCTCTGCAGATCTGAAACCTTGCAGCCAGAGCTTTCATCTATCCCTTTTCCCCATGACCTCGTCCTGTCTCACTTCACGGCAGCACACACAACCCAGTCCTTTCCCCTATTCTAGGTAAATACAGGAAGAGGGCTCAGGACACAGTGATCATTAACCCTATTCACAGAACCCGATTCCCAGCTGGTATCAGAAAACAGCTGCTCAGAGCTGGCAGCCCTGCAGGGTTAGAGAAATATCAACACAAGCACGGGAGCACTGTGGTGCTAAGAGCACTGCTCATACTAAGGAGCCTCACTCATGCTCTGGTCGCTTTTTGAAAGACAAGCTCACTCTCACATAAGGCATATTTCTCCATTTTAGGGTTATTCTCAGACCTGGGGGCCTGATATACATGTTCTCCGTCTGGACATCCTCTCTGGATATATTTTCTCATCCTCATCTTTTTTCTGACCTTTATATATACCTATCTCTGCTTTATTATAATATATTTTATAACCGGACTCAAATATTTGTGGAAAAGGGTAAAAACAAATAAAAGAACTGCTTTTTAATCATCTTTGTGGTCTTTATAATTATCTTTTTAAATGGATACAATGAGAACTCTGTCCTGATGCAATATAAATTTCTCCTTAAGCAACACAACCGCTGTTGTGGGTAACTGTAAAAGTGTGTGAAACAACTCTTCTAGCACGTGGTCAAAGAGGCTATGGTTTAGACAGTAAAAGCATCAGCATCTTGAGGGCAGGTAGTATAAGGATACCACGCAAAGCCAGTGAGGAGTCCCATACATGAGCAGAAGATTCCACCACTCCTGCCTGGAGCAACCGGACCATATGTGCTTGTGAAAGTGACTCTGCTAAGAGGCACTGCAGTACCATTTGGGGGGCACCAGCTCTCTGGCCTGCCACCTCCTTACAGCGGGGCTCACACAGACTGAAATCTCTACAGGGCAGAACAGGCAGCACACATGGGTCACGCCAGCAAGGACAATCGTTAGGCAGAACTCACACAAGGAAGGAAGCCACTGCTTCCAAAGGAAGCAGGCTCTTCTCAGCTTTAGCAAGAGGCTACTACTTGTGAATGTGCTGTCAGACTTTTCCTTTTTCAAGAGTGACTAGCTATTCAGGTTTCTATGTGAAACTTCAAGATTCTAAAGTGTTAGGAACTAATTCAAATGTTAAAATCATGATCTATCCCATGGGCCCCATCCTATGATCTTTGGTTTGAAAGGTTGGCTTACCACAGAGTTCACAAGGGTATGTTTTCTTCCATATGCACTTTTGAAAGAAAATAATTTTTTTTTTTAGTTTCTTTTTTTGTTTGTTTGTTTTGTTTTGTTTTTTTTTTTGAGACAGGGTCTCACGGTGTAGTTGAGACTGACCTGGAACTCACTGTGTAGCCCAGGCTGGTCTCGAACTCACAGCGATCCTCCTGCCTCAGCCTCCTGAGTGCTGGGATTACAGCCGTGCGCCACCACACCTGGCTTCTTTAGTTTCTTTTTAAGTATGGATTCCTATGGAGCCTTCCTGTGAACCTTGCAACCTGCTTCTGGCTGAATTACGTGTCTTCTAAACTCTTAATTTCTGGGTCAGTATTTTCTTTATATAATTACTTATCTTCAAAGGTAAAAACTTTTTAAGAATAAAGGCAAAAATTAACACAAAGCTTGCTGTAATAAACATACTAATATAAACCAAGAACTCTAAATTAATATAACATTGATGAAAATCAACAGTTATTAGTGACAGCACTCATTTTGCTTTGCAAGGTTCCCCTAAGTATATTGTGTGGAATGCAGTCCTAGGGTGGGTGTGTCAGATAAGTAATGTTTGGGGAAAGCTACAGATAATCTCCTTGGAGTTTCATGGCATTCACGGATATATTTAACAACTGAGGAATTCTACAATAACCTGTTCAAGGTTGTATAACCTAGCACTTCCAAAATTATTTCCACGGAACCTATTTTATGCATGACACTAGTAATGTTCACACTACTCATTTTATCTAATCCTTAAAGCATATCAAAATATGATAGCTGGGCATTGTGGCACACACCTATAATCCCCACTCGGGAGGCTGAGGCAGAAGGGTTGACACAAGTTCAAGGCCAGCCTGGGTTATACAGCAAGACCCTATTTCAAATTTAAAGATATATAAGCTAATGACTAACTGAACAAAATGTCGCAGAAACTTTGTTCCACTCTAGACCTTTTCCTCAATTACTTCCTGTTACTACTCTGAAAGGACTGCTTCTATAGAAATTAAAATTTTAAAGTAACTTTAATAATAATAGTAAATTTAAATACTGGCTGCTCAAAGAACTGAAAGTTTCTCAACTAAACTGAATAGAGGATATTACCAAACC